CTTCTCCAAGTTGTTACTGGCCGTCACCGCAACGACGGCAATTGCTGCCAAGGCAACGGGCGAAGTCACGCGGGGGACCCAGATCACTGGAGAAGGCCCCGCCGCGGAACCTGAGGAAAACGACAAGGCGGCGGCGGCGATGATAGCAGAGAAGGAAAAGGAAGCCACACACGGGGCAGCGAAGGTTGGCTGAGCTTTTCTCCTTCCCACCATTATTTTTGAAATGTATCACAAAACAAAATTTACAAGTAGTCCTTGACTTGCAACAGTTCATTTAGTGACTGTTCAAAATTACAAAGGAACTGAAAAAAGTAACTTATGATCATTTTTCACAGTTACAACCATTGCAACATTCCCATGGTCTCATGATCAAAATTCAGACACTTGGCAACTGACTCATATTTATGACAATTACAGTATTCTGGGGTCATTTTGCCACCTTCTGACGAGCAAAGTCAATAGGGAAGCTGTAATTCCATGATTTTCTATATGGCAGACACTTCACGGTCTATACTAACCATAAGCCTCTGTTGGGGTTGTTTACTACAAACAAACAAACAAACTCCCCATATCATTTCCCCTAGAATGCTGAGATGGTCCATCTTTCTGTCAGCCTATGACTTTTCATTGGTTCACAAACGTGGCAAGGAAATGGGCCACGCTGATGGCCTTAGTAGATTATCTTTACAAATGGTAGAGGCTGCCCCTGCCATCAACATTCTTTCCATTCAGGCATTGCCTGAGTCTCCCTTAAATGCCAGTGATGTGGCTGCTGAATCAGCCACGGATCTCACACTCACTCGTGTATTGTCCTGGGTTTTGTCTGGATGGCCTGAGAGTTGTCCAGGTACCGAGTTTCAGAGTTTCTGGCTCAAGAAGCATGAGTTATCCACTTTTCAGGGTTGTCTGTTGTGGGGCAGCAGAGTTGTTATTCCTTCCTCAATGAGGCCTAGGGTCTTGGCTTCCCTTCATGAGGGTCATCCTGGAATTGTCAGGATGAAGGCGCTTGCGCGTAGCCATTTATGGTGGCCAGGGTTAGACAGGGAAATAGAGGCTCAAGGGCATGGATGCCACTTGTGTCAACGCTCACGCCCTGAAATCCCTCAGGCTCCTGTGCATAGATGGGAGGAGACACAGTCACCTTGGTCTAGGGTGCATGTAGATTACGCTGGGCCCGTTCAGGGTCAATTCTTCTTGGTCCTTGTTGACAGCCATTCAAAGTGGCTTGAGGTTGTACCTGTCTCTTCCACCACTGCTGCCAAGACCATTCAAGTACTGAGAGGGATTTTTGCTGCACATGGGCTCCCAGATGTCTGATTTCTGACAATGGTCCTCAATTCACTTCTTTCGAGTTTCAGGCTTTCTTGCAGGCCAACATAATTCGTCATGCCACCTTTGCACCATTCCACTCTTCCACCAACGGTATGGCTGAGCGGATGGTCTGCATCACCAAGAGTGCTTTGAAGAAACTGACCTACGGGGACTGGCACCACAGGTTGGCAGACTTTCTTCTTGCTTACCACATCACACCTTCAACTTCCACTGGGAAGAGCCCAGCTGAACTTCATTGGGGGCGCAAACTGATCACCAAACTTGACAGGTTGCACCCTGACAGACTGCCTCCTAAGATCACCCAACCCAGGGCACCGCGGTGTCTGCAAGTGGGTGCCCCAGTATGGACCCGGAACTATGGGCCCAGTCACTTGTGGGTTCCTGCCGTAGTATGCAAGGTCACTCGTCCATTGTCCTACAAGGTCTCCTTGGATGACGGTCGTGTCCTTCGGCGGCATATCGATCAGCTGCGTACGAGACTGGACTTACCTTCTGCAACTCCTGGGCTTTCTCCAGGGTGGAGGGGGACCACAAAGGGAAGGGTGTTGGCAGCAGCCGGGGCCAAACGGAGAGGCCGAAGAAGGCCTGTTCCAGGGTTCCGCAAGTGTTCCAAACAGGAATTCAGGGGAACAAGAAATAATACAGGCACCAGTGCCTACTCCAGCCAGGGAGTCACCCAGGGGGCATACTCATCATTCACAACTACCATTCAGTACTCCAGTCAGGGAGAATAACTGGGAGCATCCAAATAACCCAAACATTGTAAGACAACTGGCACACAACCAGTCAAGCTGGCCCAGTACTGCTACTGCTTCCAAAAGGAAGTCTTCACACAGGGAGGTAGTCAGAGAGGCAAATCCTGATTCTGGCACCTCCGGCATAGAATGGGGGGCAACTGAGTATTGGGGCACTGCAGAAACCCCAGACAATCCCGTTACGGGGCTTGGGAGTGAAGGGATGCGTTCCCTTGATAGGCCCATTGTGGACTTGGAGAGTTCTACAGAAATGCCAAACATTGGCAGGCATAGAGAGGGGCAGGTCAACCAGGTTCAGTGGGGAGCTAAGTCCTGGTCTGATGAGCCCGGTGGGCAAGGAAGCAGACCAGGCAACAGGACACAGTTCATGGGGACCACCAGGGTTTAAAAGAGGGGGCAACTCCACTCCATCCTCTGCACAAGAGGAAGCAGGGGATTCTCAGAACCTGAGGAGGTCACAGAGAGTAAAAAGATCTCACAAGTACCTTGAGGACTTTGTAACCCTGCTGTCAAAGCAAGGAAAGTGAGAGGGTGCCTGCTGTTATTGGAAAACTGGGAGTGTGAGTATTGGGCAATTAATTCCAAAACAATAGCCTGGTACCATTCTGTGGTGTGGCTAGTGAACAGCTGCAACAGATGTGCAGGTTCTTGGGTTGGCACACCACGCTCATGTTGAGGTCGCGTTTAACTACCTATATAGTTAATAAGTCTCAACTGGGGGGGAAGGGGTGTTGTGTCCTGAGCCTGCAAAGGCAGGCTCGGGACGTTGCAATGGTCCCGGGCAGTTGCAAGCTGCCTGGGACCAGACTGAGTGGCGCTGGCTTCGCGCGCATGCGCGAGGCGTGGAAGCATGCCAGAATGTTACCTTTTTGCCCGGAGATTCTATTAAAGGAGTCAGAGAGACCTGCGAGCCTCAGAGCTGTGACGGAGCGAGAACTACTGAAATAAAAGGCTGTTGGAATTACAGAGTGTGCTGTATTCATTCGCCGTTGACTCGAGGACTCAACACAAGCCAGGTTTATTTAACAATTATGCTAGAATTTTAAAATGGGAAAAATTCACTTAACAATTGTCTCACTTAGCAACAGAAATTTTGAGTTCAATTGTAGTTGTAATTTGAGGACTACTTGTATATCAAGCCTACTTCTAAATACTCTGAGCAAATGTAGGCTCCTATTTTAAACTTAAATATGGTACGATTATAGACTTATAAATAATGGGATTTGCTGCTGCTTCCTTACTACTTATCATATCACTTAAAAATAAAACATCATGATTTTATATCTCATTTCAAAATATTTATTAGAGTCATCTACAGTAAAAAATAATTATGTGAGCATTTGCAACTATCAACAGATCTAGCCATCTTGATCAAATTATAAGAAAAATGAAACTGTAGCTAAAATAATCAAATCCTGTTTCCTCCAACTGGCCATGACTGCTGAATATTGATATCAAACCTGATTGCTGATACAGTCTTTATTTGCATTGTCTGGAGTTTAGCTTCACAATGTTACAATTATATTATAATATTGGCTATAAAAGTAAAAAAATGAAGTTGCATCTAGTTGAAAAGAGGATATTTCTCATTATTAGAAATCTTTTGCTATTTTTCTGGGAGGGTTTCTTTAATTACTTTAATCCTTTTATTGTTAGAATGTAAGTTAAACTACCCATTGGAATGAAAGAGCATATAAACCCCAGTAAATAAATATATACATTCAGGCTAGAATAACCTGTCATTTTGGGCTACTTTAGTACTCACAGGAAAAGTTTTTAAGACTGAGCCTCTGCAACAGCTAATACACTGACTCTGGTGCGATTCAGCCGGTTCGCACTAGTTCGGCAGCACTAGCTAATTTCTTGTTCTCTGGGCCCAGAATGGACTTCCGGAAATGGCATCCACACAGAAAACCGGTTGTTCACATATTTGAATCCCACCACTGCAGCGACAGCTAGCTAAGCAGGTGGGTAATAAATAAAAAAATAAACTTTTCACTTTCACTTTTGGCAATAGAAAACAAGGTTCTTATCAGATTTATTGAAAGAGAAAAGACATTAGTTTTAAAAAATATTACTAGTTGCATATTTTATTTTGCTAGCAATTGTTTGTTGGTTGGGAAGATGGTAAATCGTTTTCCTGATAAAGGAAGATTTTGTAAATATTCCAAGCTAGCAATATTCTCAAACCATTGTCAACTTTTTAAGCTGCAAACACCTATAACAATAAAGCTAATTCAGTTAGACTGATTGCAATGAAACAAATTAAGTACCGTAAATGCCGGCGTATAAGGCGACTTCCGCAAGCGCTGAAATCGGCGCCAAAGACAGGGGTCGTCTTATACGCCGAGTCGTCTTATACGCCGGAAATACTGATAGTTTCCGGTGTATAAGACGACGTTCTAAGAATGCGGCCCGGCTATAAAGACGGGGGTCGTCTTATACGCCGGGTCGCCTTGTACGCCGGCATATACGGTAGATTCTAAAGTGCTGATGGAATATTAATTCCACAATAATTATAATAATAACAACAACACAGAAACACCACTGGCATTGACAAAATTATCATCAATCAATTGCAAAAGGCAGTTTAACTCAGAATAGCTTACATTCTGCAACAATACCTTTAACCCCCATGAAACATCCACATTTGCCAATCCCAGGTCCTTGGAAAAGACTCAATACGTGGTTTAAAAATGCCAAATGCAGTTTGAACAATTGTCTGACTATGTGACAAACTATAATAATAATTATGGGGAGCCAGTTTGGTCTAGTGGTAAAGGCATCAGGACTAGAAAGCAGAAAACCATGAGTTCAAATCTTGTCTTAGCCATGGAGGCCAGTTAGGCAAGTTTGGTCAATCTCTATCTTAGGCCAACCTATTCTTGTAAGTAGAGGTAACAAAAAACTTACTTTTTGTACTCCAGCCTTTCCTTTCTCCTTTCACTTTTTTTCCTCCTAATAATGCATAGAAAAAATAGGTATGATTGCAGTTTATAGGACAATAAGAAATAACATGAAAACACATTTAGTAGTATGAAGGCACACATTACAGGAATAGATTATGCTGACAATGTCTCTTGTTAAAGCAGGTGGTACTTTTACCTGATCCTAAGTTTTCACAGGCTGAGAGCGTATGTTCTAGAATGATTTAACTATTTTATTTTAATTTGTCAAAGTAAATGGCCACCCATCTTACCCAAAGTGACTATGAGTGATTATTGAGTTAATTAAAAAGTTAATTAAAAAGAGTTTTTTCTTTTTACGAACCTGTAATCCCTTTTATCAGGATGGAGTCATGACGACTGAATGAAGCTGAATGCTTACTGTTAAATTAAAAAGAGTAAATAAAGAAAAAAATAGAAAAAGATAAAAGAAAAAGTACTAGAAAATTTCTAATTTGAGATTAGACTATTATGCATAAGATCTGTCAAATGTTTTCAAATGTAAATGTTTATGCATTAAACTATATTATTACTATTTTTAGAATTTGTACATAAGCATACTACTGCATATAGACACAGTAACAGTATGCGTATTTAACTGGCATTTTTTACATAACAGGTTTGACAGGTCTTTTTCCTAAGGAGTTCAAAATCTAAAAATAGACTCAGGGAAAAATAAATGAACAAAGGGAACATGGGCTAAACTTTGTACAGAACATTGCTGGAGATCATTAGATCCAGAAAGACTCAGTAATTGACCCAAGTTAACATTGAACCTACAATTACATTCTTAAATATAACTTAAGCAAAATAAAATAATTTTGCTTAAGTTACAATAAGGTAACTTTGGTCCAGTCTCTCTCTTAAGCCAACTCACCTCATAGTATCATTGTGGGGAAAATAATATTTATTTAATATGTAATACACAAACTGATTTTACATATCTACTATAATAAATTGTGCTTATTTTAATCATATAGTTAAAGCTCATCTTTTACATTTAAATCTCAGTGCTTACAAAAACATCTATATTATATAAAACATTTCTCTTATATATTCTAATATAATCAGTATGCAATCTAGAAATACTTAAATAACAGTTTACTTACTTAAATTACAAAATATAGATTATAGACAATTAAACACTATTAATGATATAATATATACATTAGAATGATTTATATGTGTATGAATGCCCCACCAATAGTTTTTCAAATGCAGTTTAAAAACAATTGGTGGGACATTCATACAGATATAAATTGGATATTTTCTACACAATTAATGCATTATATAAATAATATTATTTTTCTTTTCAAATATTTTACACTTCTGCCTTAAAGTTATTTTTTTTGAAAGCAAAGTCTAAAATTAACAGCTTTACCTCCTAGGGATGTAATTAACATTTTCTCCTTTTTTGTACATTTAACAGAATGCACAGCATGTATTATATAACTTTCGCACATTGGGTTAGGTATATTAAATCTGGAATACAAAAATAATTCCTATACATAACATTTCATGCAGTCTCAGAAAAATGATGTGACTCTTTTCTATTGTTTTAAATAATAGCATAGTATAGCATAGCACAGTACAGTACATTATAGTATAGTATGAATACTATTTGTACTAGATTTGTTTAGAGCAATACTACAGTCCAACTATTAATGTATCACAGTTCAGTAGCATCAGGATATGGGACAGACTATTTACTAATAAAACTGTAAATTTTTTAACAAATATAATTTAAATCTGATCTTTAGGAAAAAAATTGACAAAGAACTACCTACAAAGTGTGAAGAAATTGGGATTTTAAATTTAAGATCCTAAAGTCAAGTGCTAATTTTGAAATCTGAATATTTGCTGAAGTTTATATATACAAAGTCATTTAAAAATATGGATTTTGAGTAAAATTCTGAAAGTTATTTTCTCCAAATTATTGTAATTCCACTAAGAAAAGGAAGCATAAACTAATGTTTACTCTAGAATTAGTTACTTTCTATTTGCTTTTCTTTGGAAGACACATACTGAGATTTATGTATGCTGGTATCTATTTACCCCATTAAAATACATCAAGAAAATATAATAAATAATTAGTTTAGAAACAAAAGAAATATAATAATATAGTAAATATTTTCTTTGATTAGGTATACATATTAATATTAATCTATGTGGATATAACATATAATTTAAAATTCAATTGTATTTCAAACCAAAAAGTTATTTTAATTAACATATAGCTAGGTATACTTAAAAATAAGTTCTATTGATTGTTCATAGTACAAATCATTTTCAATTTGGAAAAAGTGCAATACATATGCCAACTTTAAATAAACTCCATTAAGTTCAATGACACTTACTCTGTAACCTGCACCCTTATTCTATAACCTGCAACCAAATCCAAGGTTTACTACTGCTTATCTACTCACAATTATTTTTATAACATTTAAAGAAGAAAAAATAATCAGATACACAGTAATGGTAATAGTTTTATGTCATTATTGGGAAGTCAGTGGTATATAGGTATAAGTAAAAATACCTAATGCAAAATTTCTGTAATACTGTAAAAATTGTAAAGGCAAAAAATCTAACTCTATTGCAGTTATCTTTACTATAAAGTATAGATTTTTAATCAATTATTCCAGCAGACATTTATAGCTCAATATAGTAATTAACTAATTATAAAATGTATAGCAAATAGAAGCGGATATCTTACATTTGTTTAAAAAAGGCACAGTGAATTCAAATTTCTTTTAAACAAATAGATATAGGTATAGATACAGATGAAAGAATGAGAGAGATATTATATGGATTCAGATATGTAGATATAGACGTTAACATTTTATATGTCTTATGAAATATTTTGGGTTAAAATTCAGTAACACTGGGTAAAATTTATATATGAGAAGACACAATTTTAGACATACAAAAGACAAAAGGAATACCACTTTTATGCCTGAGTGTTATTAGGAACTCAACAAAACTATGTAATTCTGTCATAATATAAGAACAATATGTAATTCCTCTTACTTAGTTCATAATTTTGTAACACTGAAAAATGTTTTTACTGTTGATGATAATGTGATAGAAAATCTGAGATGACAATTATCAGGTTAAACAGAAGAATACTGATACAGTGTCATATGGACAAGAATCTTGAAGTCTGATAAATAACTTTTAAATTGGTATCTCTAGATTAGGCCTCTACAACATATGGCCTGTGGGCGTTTTTGAAAACTCAACAAATCCACTGCTGTCAAATATTGCCAGTGCCAGGAAGGAACTGCTGCCACCAAGTTTTTTTAGCACCAACCCATTCAATCACCACTAACATTATCAGCTCTATCATTGCCACCATACTGTTACCTGCTACATATCTAATGTGTACACCAGGTATTCCTTTGTTACCTGTAATTATATTTAATGTAGTAACATGGCACTTTTCCCTCTATTAACTGTGCAGATCTGCTGTAGATATTGGCCTTGGATAAAGCAACATGACTTGAGAGATAACAATGATTGACATTTCCATTCTATATATCTATCTCTATGTCTATCTTTTTGTCCATCACTCTAGTGTTGAAGCTGTATTCCCTTTTTTCCCATATCTAAAATTATGTATTCTAAGAGTCTCAGTAGGTTTTCATATATAAATTTTATCTGATGCCATCGAATTTTATCCCAAAATACTTCACCATACACACACACACACACACACACACACACACACACACAGAGATATACATAGGTAGGTAGGTAGGTAGGTAGGTATATATATATATATGTATATATATATATGTATATATATATGTATGTATATGTATGTATATATATGTACGTATATGTATGTATGTATATGTATATATCATCTATATTAATATATCTGTTTAGAATAAATTTTATATCTAGCATATTTTTTCCATATCTAAAGTGTGTCTTTGGAATCTTAATAGGTTTTTATATATAAATTTTATCTAATATTATTGAATTTTTAACCCAATATATTTCATAAGAACTTATATGAAACTTTAAAGAGTTATACATGCTTTATCTCAGAAATTAGGCTCACAAAAGTTCAGAAAAATAAGAAAAATATAATTCTGGAGATTCCATGCATTTGTTAAAGACTCTGGTCAAAAAGCTCAAATGGTAACAAATTGATTTTTTGCTGCAAGAAACTACTATCTCTTTAAAATCTGAAAACTCCTGGGCATTAATTCTAGAAATTACTTGAATGGGTCTTCATTCATTCATAAATCCTATAAAAGGAGAAGCATATTTTTTTAGAAAAATATGCAACAAGTTAGAAAATCAGAAACATAAATTATTTATATTATATAAGAATTTGAAAAGTCATATACATATACATTTATACTATAAATGTAGAATATAGGAATTAGGTCCTAAAGAACCTCACAAGTTATAAATGACTCTTTTATTGCATTTAACTCACATTTCAAACAATTACTATGAATCATATCAACTTAGTGAAGAAACATCATGCATTCTAAGGGGAAAAAAACCTCTTCACTATGATATATTGTTAAAATATGGCCATAGCAAATTTCAGACTCATTTGCACATGTAATATCTGCATCCATTCTATAGTAATCTTTATTAATTATTAACTCCACATAAAAACTGATCTAATCCCAGCTCTGGTTTCTTGAAATATCTTAAACTATAGTTTAACTTAATTTATTATATAAATAAAATTAAAGAATACCTATAATTTGTTTTGTTTAGGTAACATAGCAAGCTTCTATCAATATAAAATGGAAGTAAAGTTTTCTTAATAAGAGGGAAGGAAGAAAGGAAGGAAGGAAGGAAGGAAGGAAGGAAGGAAGGAAGGAAGGAAGGAAGGAAGGAAGGAAGGAAGGACGGAAATTGTGTGGCCCATGACTTCATCTTATGCCACACTGAATTTAGAATCACATCTAAACAAGTCACAGATTAAAATATTATAGTTATAATATCTAGTATGCTATGTTCAAAAATGTTTTGGCGCATCTATTATCCTTCTTTCACTGTTTCCCAAAAAGCAAGTCACAAGAAGCTACTACCAAAATTCTAAGTGATCACTTGTGCAAAACTTTTGAAATGAAGCAAAAAACACATAGAATTAGACAAAAGTCTGCATGCAGTTCTGGGTCATAAGATGTCAACTACAGTATATCATCACCCTACTGGGAATCTGCTGAGTAAAAGATGTCTTCAAGGTGCCTAATATCAACATACTTTATAAATGGACATTTCCAATTCAGGGTGGGCAGCATCTGCTCTCCCTGGGCAGTTCCCAAGCTCTTACTCCTCAGCAAGTAAGTAATGCCTAGGCTGATATTTATCTTAATACTTTTTTACTTTATGTGGTAAATTAAATTAATTAAGTAAAATAATTAAATTACAGTATCATGTGACATTTAATGATGTGAAAATAACAGCATTTTCAAAGAGAATTTCATTCTTGCGATTATCTAGTTTTGTGTAAAAATATGATCTTTTCACCTATTAAGACCACTGAATATTTAGTAAAATAATTTATTTTAGCCATAAAAAGTTTACATACATCTGCCTACCTAACACATTTTAATACTTTAAAATATAAATAGAATCTTCCTTTTTAAGTTTCAAATTTCTAGAACAGATACAGGTTTTCAGTAAAAATAAGATTATTATATTGAGGTACAATAACTTTCTATGATTTTATAAAATCATGTTGGTTTTTTTTAAGTAGGTTTATAGAATTCACTGAATATCAAAACAACCATATTTCTATTATAAAGAATAACTTCTAACCCCTCTAAAATACTTTTTATTTCTTCTCTAAAAGCAAGCTTGCATTGGCTATTTTCTTAGTTTTAGAGCTAGAATTATTAATCCCCATCTATAGAATTTCCTTCAGCACCAAACTCAGCAAATTCATTTTCTTTTCTTCCTATAATGAAAGTATTCAATTTGATAAAACAGGTGAAAATCAGAGGGAATAATGCTTCAGTTTTAATTTTTGGAAATGCCTCCTATGCACTTAAGATAACCCTTATGCTGGCTCACTTGAAAACAAATTCCATTTTGTTTAATGATACTTCCAAGTCCTCTCATGATTGCAGCCTTAATTTTTCAGAAATACAAACTCTGTAATTAATCAAATTAATTATTAATTGGTTAAGCAATTACCCAACTGAAAAAGCCCACCTGAACCACAGTTTTTGGTATCATCACTACATGTGATGTGCACAGCTAAGTTCCTCTACTTGTTTGATACCTTCTATAGTGTGACAACCCAGAGATGCTTATAATTGTCCAGCTCATTTTAACAAGTATATAATTTATCTTCCTACCCATTCTCAGTAGCCCAAATATTTTTTGTGAGCTGGTGGGAGTGGAGATGGTGAATGGATTTCCGACGATGTGTTTAAATAATACCTGGATGTAGGAGAGAGGCGAAAAAGAACCCACACAGACATTTTTCTGGCTAATCTTGTGAAAAGCTGCTAGCTCCGAAAGCGATGCTGAAGCAGCCAAACAGCTTCACTGCCGACCAAACCGGAGCATCATCCTAAACTATGCGAAAGACCACCACAAGGAAATCCCGGGGCAGCCGAACTTCGGGCACCCCCTGCCAAACACGCACGAAGCAGAACCCACTTGGCGATAGGAAGGCGGGAAAGGAAGAGTCTGCATCGCCAGGTGCTTTTTTCGCCCTGATGTACGCCCTACTGAGCTCCATAGGAATGGAGATAAGTCCCCTCGGAGGGCTGAAGGATAAAGAGAGTAAAGCAACATATGGACAAATGGGGAGGATGGAGAGAATGTCCGTCCGTCCATCCGTCTGTCCGTCATCGCTGCTGCTATCCCATCATCTTTGCAGTGTATTATTATTATTATTATTATTATTATTATTATTATTATTATTATTATTATTATTATTATTATTTTGACAAAATCCTCTCTTCCTCCCCATTGGGGACTCGTTTACTTGCACACCTACACCAAACTGCCATCTTCTGGTGGTGCAACCAAGAGGTCTAGGACACGGACGGCGGGGGAAAAAAAGTTACCTCTATCCCGGTTGTGGCGGAAGAAGCTTCCCACGATCTGCTGCCCAGGCGAGCAAGCCGGCGGCCGGGTGAGCGCTGAGTGCAGAGGTGGAACGACCAGCCGATGCTCGCGGTGGGATTGCGAAGGAAGAGATGCGAAGGAAGGGATCCGGAATGGGGCCTCCGCCACGCCACCGCCACGAGGGGCTGAGCTTTACGCTCTCAGCCCTCCGCGGCGATTTGAGGAGGGTTGACTAAAAATAGAAGCGGGGGGGAGGGAGAGAGGGGAGGATCTGCCGCCGATTCCACTTCAGCCCACGCGCCTGGCTCACGCTGCCTCCCGGAGAAGCGAGTGCGGAGGGAAACAGTGCAGGAAGAACAGGTGCAAGGAGGACCGCCAAATTGCCGACCCTACGAACAACAAGGGCAGATTTGGGGAGCGGATGAGGTTCACCCCCCAGCTGTGTATCTGATTTGCATGTATGAAAAATCCGCGGCGGCTCTTTTTGAACACTGCCGCGAGGTGATTTCGGAAGCGAGCATTCAGAGGACTTGCTCCCTTTCCTGTTCGATTCATTGCTGTATTTTTCCAGCCAAGCTCGTGAGCCATCTGCCATCCTTGGTGGACACAGGCAGCTTTCTATGTTCCACATCCTCATAGCAACCCAGTTTTCTAGCACAACAAGCCTTGCTAAAGTGTAAATTAACTACAGAAGATATATTCAAACAACAACCTAGGCTAAACATTGTTAGCTGTTTCTGGTTCAGTGCATCATCAAGTGCAGCTACAATTTGAGTGCAATTTATTATCCATGTTCCGCTATCTCTAGATTAGAGCTTTCTTCTAGATCATACTGGGGTCATGGTTAGAAATTGGACACCTTTGAAGAACATCAGGTAACACATTGCAGCTAGAGCTGTCTTTGAAAATTAACAAATATTAATGCTGGCAAAAAAAAAAAGGCTTCTCCAAAACCTGGAACATTTCCAAAGAGTTTTAAATAACTGATTCATAAAAAATTTAAGCTATGGTTTGTCATAAGCTAAAGTTTATAAATTAGCAAAAACGCTTAAGCAAAAATCAAATTAATTTCAGTGTGCTGTAAGGCCTGTACAATAGTCCTTGACGTATGACCACAACTGAGCCCAAAATTTCATTTGTTAGGACGTTTGTTAAGTGAGTTTTGCCCCATTTTTCGACCTTTCTTGCCACAGTTAAGTGAATTTCTGAGTAATAAGATTGTTAAATGAATCTGGCTTCCCCACTGACTTTGCTTGTCATAAGTTTGGAAAGCTGTTCATGTGATCCTAGGACACTGCAGCTGTCGTAAGTATGAACCAGTTGACTTTTGATCACGTGGCCAGGGAGATGCTGCAATGGTCATAAGTATGAAAAACAGTCATAAGTCACTTTTTTCAGTGCCATTGTAACTTTTGAACAGTCATTAAATGAACTTTTGTAAGTTGAGGACTATCTACACCTACTGAGTTAAACTGTGTCTTTGAGGTGACACGAAATAATTCTTGAAAAAAAAATGCTCTTTCCATTGAAAAACTCTATTCTAATTTGTTTATATCTATTCTGTGACATTGCTGAATAATAACCTGATTTGTCAGGGTGTCGATTGTTATCGACAAGATACTTGGTTTTCTCCATTGGCTTTTCCACTGACTCCTTTTAATGCATCACAATGTGTGTGTGTGTGGGGGGGGGGAATCCACTAATGAGGACTATTTCTGCTACTGAAGAAATAGACAGTTTTAACTTTGGAACTCTTAGACTTATTTGCCCTTCTATATAACCCCTTTTAGCCATTTTCCAGGCTTTAAAAATGAAATAAGTGTACAGAAAGGCATGAGGGTAAAAAGATTATCAGAATGCAGGAAAGAAGATATGCCATGAGTGTGCAGTTATGCACTGAAGGTGCAATGCCCTGGGTCTTGTAGAGCAAGAAAACTGAAGATAACTGAAACCATAAAAATGCTGGGTAACCAAATCATAAATGGAAGAGGGGAAGTGAATAAAATTGTTAAATGTACAGAAATATGGCAAATATGCAACATAATTCAACATCCCTCTGTTACGGAAATTGCAATGAGGAAATGCAATTACATTTAAAATAAAGATACATTTTCGAAAACTCTTATTGGTGATCAATTGATTGATTATATATAAGTCAAACTTGAGTCTTAGTGACCACATATACAGACCTTCTCCAGAATGATCTCTACCCAAGCTAGGCCTTCAGGTCTTCCAAAGGTGCATTTATTGTCCCTATTAATGGGTCTATCACAGGAAAATCACATGTAGAGTAGATATAGTCACATTGTCCAAGGCCTTCATTGCTACTACCAAGCACTGATCTACAGCAATTTCTTGGCTACTGATGTCTTTATTCTAGTAAAGAGGGAAGCTATCCATTGATAACAGTGGAATAGTTCAAAATTTTCTCTGTTTAAGGTGGCAATCAAAAATGACAATATGGTAATAGCATCTATGTGATCAAAGCTCTCTTTCTTGTATGTAAATCAACATTATGCATATTTTTTTTTACTGCCTCCCCTATGGACACATCTAACTTCTTCTTCTCCAAGTACAAAAATGGCAGTTTGCCATTCTGTAGCTTATTGGAAATGTGTGGAAAAATTATTGTCAAAAATGAGGGCAGGAAAGGGTGCAAAAGGAACATAGAAAGCTAATAACGCTAACGTGGAAGGCAAAAGTTGGAAATGGTATGAAAAAAGTTGGCTAATGATTACAGAACATCTTGTCAATATCTTGTTTTTGATATCAAAGGATCAAATAAATTTTTTTGAAAATGGAGCTAGTATGCAAAATTCAGGTAATTGTCTGATAAATTAAATTAAAATGTAATTTTAATTTGATTGTATTAGAATTATAATAATATGATAGTATTGGCTATTGGCTATAATATATAATTGTATTGGCTCCATCTCTTTTTAATATTTGCACAATGATCAGCTGCTTCCTATGGTACTAACAACTGTAGGTATGCTGAAAATAGAGGAATTGCTGTACAAGGAAAAATATTTGAGGAGGTTGAACAACAATACTATTGTGATAACCAGTTAAGACCAAATCCAACAAAAACTTAGGATCATGCCTTCCATCACCGCAATAGGAAGGCTGCTAGGAAAGGGGCATTATTGGAGCATTGCCAATATTTAGGGTTCACTCTAGTTAGGGCCCTAACATAGAAACAGCACTGTACCACTAAAGGAGTGTTGGCTTACCTGAACGCCTCTTCTCAGCATGATGATGGAGAATCCACCAGTGGGTTGACTCTCTTCCTGCTCAATCAGACTAAGTCAGTCAAAGTTGCCATGCCTGTCCTGGTCTGGGACCACCCAGTCTCGACGAAGGTGAAGCAAATGATGACAGTCCGACGTGTTGACTCCCGAAAAAAGGAAAAAAACCAACCCCCTGACACAGGACCCAATGGACCTTTAGAGGGGTGGGTGTGGATTCTCCATCATCATACTGAGAAGAGGCGTTCAGGTAAGCCAATGCTCCTTCTCCAGCATGATGGATGGAGAATCCACCAATGGGACATACCAAAGTCCCACTGTCCCTATGGGAGGGAGTCAGCAGATGCTGGAAAAGGAGATATTGTTCTGAATGAAGCTAGTAGACTTATTACCAGATGCCTCAAACCTACCCCTCTAGATTAGATCTACTACCTAGCCATCATTACCCTACCTGCTGTTTGCAGACAAGAAGCAGCATACAGAGAGAAAATCAAATCATCAATATCTAGACAACATCCTGTCTATGATCTACAATCAGCACAGCAGAGATTAAAATTCAGGAAAAGCTTCCATAGATTGATAGAAGACTTTAAGGAATTTGAAAGCAGTGATTTCATGTCGTGGTGTAACAGGAGCAGGAAGACAGGGCTCTGTCTTCCACATTCGATTTTGCCCCGCTGGGACCCTAAAAAGTGTTGAAAGTCATCCCGAAGAGGTGACGAAGAAGGAGAGGACCCTCATCAATCGTGGATGGGTTATGGCCATTCTGCTGGATCCAAGGAAGCCCTCCAAACCAGCGGGGGAAAGACTGCCTACATTCATGTGGCCAGTCAGAAGCTGCTGACAATCAAAGACAAGCAGTAACTAGCAATTTCTGAGCAATGTGGATGGAACTGGGTGAGATTTTATCCTCTTTTTATGGCCCTAACACTACTTTCCTGGAAAAAAGAACGCCCATATCAAAGAATCCTCCCAGATGAGAGAGGGAAGGGAAGTTATTGCCTGCTCCCTCAGGAAAAGAAAAGCAGTGAATTAATTATTTTGGGGGGGGGGAAACAAAGGAAACTACAAAATCAGTTTGGAACTAAAACTAAAACTAAATTTGGGGACTAGAAGTACATTTGAGACTTTTTTTAGAAAAAAAATATTTGAAAGTTTGCAAAATAAACTTGCATTTGGAAAGCTGGAAGATGGTGTCAATTACATCTAGTGGAGAATTATGGCACTACAATTTATTATGCTTAAGGGAAACTTGGCTTGAAGCCCAGACTCAGATAAGATTCTTTGTTGTTCCTGGACACTTTCACTTTTGCAGACTGCAGCTGGGAAAAACAAAAACTCTTGGCTGCTTATCTGGGTTGGGGGCCCCAGTTAGACTATAAAGACTACATACAAAAAAAATGAGTGTTCCATACTCAGCCTCAATAAAAAATTATCTTCAACACCTGTCTCCAAAGCTCCCAGCTTGATATATTAACCAGAAAATGTTAATGAAGCTCAGAAAGAAATTCTTTTCATGTTGAAATCAATCCAAATAAGACAATTGTCTTATTTCAGGATGAGACTAAAAATAATGCAAATGAGATAAAAGAACAATTTTCTAACCTAAACTTACAAATCCAGACAATGCTGCAAAGAAGGGAACTAATAGCCCAGAAAACAAAGAAAATTAGAAGAAATGGATCCAAAGATATAGGACCTAAAGGAAGGAATTAACAGACAGATACAGACAAATGAAAAATTAGAAGATGCAGTGATAACACCAGAAATAGAAAAGACATTGTACTTGTCAAGATCTCAGAACACATTTGAGGATAAGGGAGAAGAGCTGATCGAATGGATGGTAAAGCTGTTATGAGAAATGCTGAATATTGACAAACATGAGATGAAAAGAAAAACTGAAGGAGAAGACTGGAGGCAGTTTAATGAATATAAATGGGTTGAGCATTCTTCCAAAAACACGTCAACCAAATTCTTTTTTTTCATTTGAAATGATATATACAAAAACAGAGGAAGAACTACTTGATGATTTAAATGTACTGACTTGCAAATTTATTTGGCAAAGAAAGAAAGATAGAGTAAGACTGAAGAAAATTGAGGGTTCTGACCTATTAGATGGGATATTATTCTACTAAACAGATATTTGAATAAGGCTAAGAAAATAGATAACTGTTAGAAATAAAAGTATTATTATAATTAGAAGGATAAGATTTGTAACTAGAATATTATACTTTGTTATGAGATAGGAAATATGAAAATTCTAAAAGGGTTTGAATAAGGGAAGCTTTTTGTTACCCAAATATAATTTATTATGAGAAAATTATAAGCATTAGAGATATTTTGAACATTGATGGAAAATTAAAATT